AGTATCTAAATCTAAATGTGTGAAAAAGTATCACTTTTAGAGTGAACTTTCAACAGACTGTGCCATGCCAACAAGCATTTTGTGGGCGGTAGGAAGCGAGATGGAGAGCGAAACAGATCACTTCATTGCATCGTGGCTTGATGAGGTCGGCAGGGAATTTATTAACACGATTAAACAACTTACCGAGGTTGTACCAGACGTCCATTTCTCCGCTCAGCGTTCTCACTTCAATGATCGCTTGGCCCAGAAAGTCATCGGATTCGCGTGTGAACTTTTGCCGAATTTTCGACTTAAAATCATTGTCCTCGTCCCTTAAAAGAGAACAGCATCAAATAAGGGCAGATGATCACACGATTTATCGAAAATGAGCAGAGAATCAAATGAAAAGATAGTACCGTTTAAAACTTTAGTTTCAAGTAAAAGACTATATAAATGAGCTCTGGGGATCAGGTTTGCCGGTAACTGGAGATCTGACTGCCTGAGGACCTATACCCAACTTCGAACAGACAACATTAAAGTGAGGATATGCTCTAAAGCAAACTCCTAAAAGTTCCCTTCGTGAAATCTATCGCATGGGTTTCAAGTGAAAATCACCAGAGCATGTTAGAACGTTTTTTGAATGCCGGTTTCATGTTTCGGTTTATTATGTGTAATACTCTCATGTGGAATGAAGCGGATTTTCAATGTGCTATCTATCTTCAAATTCATACAAAAATAGCAACCTCTTTTCCAACTTCGTGACAACGCCGGTTGGCTGGTAAATGCTTTTCTTAACTCAACCAATGTATTGCCGACTAGAGACATCATTGCTACTTTTGAGGGGACCGAAGCATCCATCAAAGATGGGACAGCAAAGATCGTTGATATGTTAAGAAGATTGCGCTTCGAGGACTGTCTTGTTTCATAATTGTTCAGCCCACTTGCATTTTGAGTGATCGTGACTGGTGAAAAGATGTGAAAGCGGATCCTACAAAAGATGACCACCAGCGGATTCCTCTTGACCAGCATTCGATTGGCTTTACTGGAACAGTCTTGCTGATGCGGTTTGCGAAGAGCTCAGCAAGGATCCTTGACTCAGAGAGCAAGCATAGTTAAGCAAAAGTGGGACTTCAGGAATAAGGAATTCCACAATGGACTAGTTTACACAAGATCTCGTGAATCAAAGAATGTGCATGCGAACCGGTATGTGCTTGGAGGATGATGGGAGCTAAGGCCAGCGAGACAAAGATTGTGACTACTGATAGATATGATGGGTGTGATGGGTGAGATGGGTGTGATGGGTGTGAGGAGGTAGAAGAACTAAAGTCGAAGGAGCGTAATTCGATGGAGCGGGAGGATGGATTAGAACGAAGAGTTCAGACTAGCGGGCGTTTGAGGAGAGGGAAAAAGGGAGAGGGATAAATGGCACGGTTTGGAGGAAAATATGGCAAGTTGGCAT